TCGGTTCCCTCTTTCCTACCCATTCTCCCTTTACCCTCCCTGTTTTGCCACTCACACCACTGGTCCTATAGGGCTCATCCGTCCTGGATTCCCCTTTTAAGAAATTTTATTAAGTTTACCTCTCTGTATTCCCCATCTTCACAACCTTCTGAACTTTGGACTTTTGATTTGAGCTGGCCCAACAGCATATTTTGATCGGACTTTTTTTTAAAACCATATAGGAAGATTAAATTTTGAGCATTCAAACTTTTGGAATTTTTTCTTTGGGACTCATGTGTTCCAGGTTGCCCCTGTTGTCCTTGCATAAGGATTAATAGCATCCCCATTCACTCTTATAAGGATATCATTTGTGTAGTAAGTTGTATGACTGTTGAACTTGTAGACATGTATATTTTGAAGAAAACTTGGCGATATTGATTAAGTATTTGGTTTCATATTTTAAGTGATAAAATCTGAAAATAAACTCCAAGATAGATTTCTTGTATAATTCTGTTTTGATAACATAATTGAACTCTGCAGAACACAATGCATTTAAAAAGTGAAAGAAAGGAAAGTGAAAATAGCTGATACTTTTTAATGAAATCTACCTTTACACAATTTTTCTTTTAATTAAGGGAAAATGTTGCAAATAACAGGAAACCATGCACTGAAGAATTTGACTAAAGGTTGCCTGAGTGAACTGTTTTCTAGATTTTGTCTTGGGAAGCCATGGATATCAATTTGAGAGCATTTTTAAAAACCTTTTATTGTGATGTAACATTCATCCAGTAAAGCACATGAGCCATGAGTGTAGATCAGTGATCTATCAGGCTGAACATACCTCTCAACCACTATAAATAGTCCCCTTTGTGCCCCCTTCCTCCCGACTTTGGATATCATAAATCAGTTTTTTGAATTTTATATAAATGGGATCATATAGTATGTACTCTTTTAGATGCAGTTAACCCTTTTGTGTGTGACAGTATCTTGTTCTTTTCATTGCTGTTTCTTTGATACTAAAGTTTGAATATACCATAGTTTTTCCATTCTACTGCTGATGGAAATGCTCATTTCCAATATTTTGGCCATTGTAACTAATGCTACTATAATTGTGTTATGTATGTCTTTTGATGCATGTGTGCATTCTGTTCTCTTTAGTATTCATTTCTAGTCATAAAATTGCTGAGAATAAGATAACTATGTTCAAATTTGGAAATATTGTCAAACTGGTTTCCAAATTAATTGTACCATACTTAACCCTAACAGAGTAAGAGAGTTCTGATTTTTCTGTAACAGGACTTGAAAATATCAGCCTTTTATTGTAACTATCCTACTGCATGGGTCAGGAATCCATCGATGCCGTTTTAATGCGTATTTCTCTGATGACTAATTATGTTGAACACTTTCATATCTTTTTGTGAAATGTCTATTCAAGCCTTTCATCTATTTTTCTGTAGGCTTTTTCTTTTGATTTGCGTGTGTTCTTTACGTATTCCAGATACTGGTCTTTTATTCTTTTTAGGTGGCACGTGTCTTCTCCTAAATACTGTCTCTTGATCGTTTTATTTTCTGATTTATCAATCTTTTGAGTTAATGGTTAGTGCTTTTGTTAATCCTATTGAAGGAATCTTTTGAAATATTCTCTTCCGTTGTCTTCTGGAAGCTTTATGATTCATTGTACACACTTAGATCTATGAAACATCTGGAATTTATTTTTGTGTACAGGGTGAGCTACAGGTCAAGATCCTTTTCTTTTCTCGGATGAATAGAGCGTGCGTGTGTGCGCGCGCGCATGCGCGTCTGTAACTTTACAATCAGTCTTTCTATCTGGCAGTGTAGGACACTTCCTCTTAGCCCCTTTCTTCTTCCTTAAGACACGTGGGCCATTCTTAGCCTTTTGTGTATGCATGTACATTGACGATTAGCTTTTCAACTTTTTAAAACGGTAATGAGGACTCACTGCAGTCAGAGTAATAATGATGAGATATTTTGTGAAAGGTTTTAATTTCATTGATTGGGTTAAAATAACCATGTCCTGGTTGGTTATTTTTGTATTAGTTTAATAACAAGAACAACTAATCATGAAAGAACATACTTGTTTGGAATTGCATAGTGAGTTTGTAAGTTTATGAAGCATGCAGACTAAGAAAACAGTGGCATGGTCTTGATATGTTTGTTTGTTTGTTTGCTTTTTCAGGTCATCTATGATAGCAATCTCCTGTAAGTCGGACTTTTTCAAGAATTCTCTGAAGAAACCAAATAATGATTTTCTTACATCATGACTTAATCTGAATGCAGGAGCAAAATAAGTTTTGTCTTTAAATATAATGAAGGGTTGTGTGTAAACACGGACCCTGACTTAATTCTAATGAGCATTTTAGACATGAGCTTACATCGGCAAATGGGTTCAGATCGAGATCTCCAGTCTTCTGCTTCATCTGTGAGCTTGCCTTCGGTCAAAAAGGCACCCAAGAAAAGAAGAATTTCAATAGGCTCTCTGTTCCGGAGAAAAAAGGACAATAAACGGAAATCAAGGGAGCTAAATGGCGGGGTGGATGGAATTGCGAGTATTGAAAGTATACATTCTGAAATGTGTATTGATAAGAACTCCATTTTCTCTACAAATACCTCCTCTGACAATGGATTGACTTCTATCAGCAAACAAGTTGGAGACTTTATAGAGTGCCCTTTGTGCCTGCTGCGGCATTCTAAAGACAGATTTCCTGAGATAATGACTTGCCATCACCGATCTTGTGTGGATTGCTTGCGACAATATCTACGGATAGAAATCTCCGAAAGCAGAGTTAATATCAGTTGTCCAGAATGTACTGAACGGTTTAATCCCCACGATATTCGCTTGATATTAAGTGACGATGTCTTAATGGAGAAATATGAAGAATTTATGCTTAGACGGTGGCTTGTGGCAGATCCAGATTGTAGGTGGTGTCCGGCACCAGACTGTGGGTAAGAGAATTTACTGACTATTGTTGAAAAGAAAAATCTTGAAGGGGAAGGTGGGGGAGAATGGGGAAATTGATCACAGTGATCTATATATAACCTCCTCCCTGGGAGGCAGACAACAGAAAAGTGAGTGAAGGGAGACATCGGCAGTGTAAGACATGGAAAAAAACAATAATTTATAAATTATCAAGGATTCGTGAGGGAGGGGGCGGGGAATGAGCAGGGAAGGGATCAAGTAGAAAGCAAATGTTTAGAGAATGATGATGGCAACAAATGTACAAATAATTTATTTTAAAAAGGAAAGAAAAAGAAAAGAAAAATCAATGTGCCTAAGATTTCATTTACTAAGTAGACAGACATGCTGAATTCATGCCATGTGTCAGGTACAGTGTTAGTTATAGGCAGGAAACGGTCTTACTCATTTTTATATTTCTTGCATTTGATTTATTTAAGAGCATTTTTGAGAGAAAAGGATAAGATGGTAGAGTACAGGATCTGGTTTATAAATTCTTTTGTATGAGTAACATCATTTCTCAAATATTTTGAAAATTTCAGAAACTCATTTGGGACCTTTTTATTTCCCCCCCCTTTTCCCTCCCTCCCTGAAGTTTTGTTATAAAAATTGGCTTCATATTTTAAATATCTGAAGCTTATATCTTAAATGTTAACTAAAGTATAAAATATACACCAGTAAAGACATTTATCTTTAAAAGGTTCTTGTGTTATGAGAGCAACTACTTGATTGTTATGCAAGTTTAACCAAGAAATTGTACTTAATTAAGTTAACGATAAATTAATTTGGGGCTTTAGGTGCTTGCGTAACCTACAAAGCAGAAAACATGTCAAATGGCTTTTATCAATGTGTTTTCATTAGTGGGTGACTTATTCTGACTGGGTGTGTTAGTCTGGTTTGACTAGAGAAACAAATTCATAGACAATCACGTGTATAAGAAAGAGCTTTATATACAAGAGCAATTAGATATTGAAAAAACATTCCAGCCCAGTTCAGATCAAGTCCATAGGTCCAATATTGGCCCATATGTTCGATACCAGTCTATAAAGTCCACTTCAGACTCACAAAACACATGCAATAATGCCAAATGCAAGATCACAAACCAGTGGGTTGTAAGTCTTGTGAATCCAGATGCAAGCATCTCAGCGCTGGCAGGGATCTCCATGTGGCTTCTCCAGCTCAGGGCACTAGTGTAGTAGTTCCATGTGTCTTGTCAGTAGAGCGTCTCCCAGGGAGTGAGCAGAGAGCGTGTCTCCTGCCTCCACGGAGAAAATACAGGAATTCCCAGAACCCTCAGGGGAAGGCCATGCCCACACAGAGGCCTCATTGGCTGTACAGTGATTGACAGGCAAAATTCCACCCCTTGACTCATAATCCTCTCAAATTGATAGCATTATATAACTACCACACTAGGTTAAGAGTATATTTTATGTACTCAGTGGACTTAAAGGTTTGTGATTGTGTTACATAGAATCGTCACCCAGTGACATAAAATATGTATGTATACTTAGAAAATAGAATACTTCGTGAGCCCTCATTTAAAGGTTACAGGTACAGTTTTACTTAGCATGAGTCTGTAGACTTGATTTTGAGTCACTATTAAGTGGTGTCGATAGTTAATGTTTGTAGCATAATTGTTATCATATGACTTAGTAAAATAGGTCTTAACTGTTTCTTTGATTAAGTTGCAAGTGTTTAAACATTCATTTCTAGAGAATTGGCTACATGCTTTCCAGTATAGGAAATATACTTCCCACTGGTTACCGAGGACTGGAGATTCAATAGTGACCAAAAGACAAAATGTCCAGCCCTCTAGGAACTTGTTACAACCGTTGGACCCACAGAGGGACAGTTTAAAATTTGAATGACTTTTATTGCATGGGGAATATTGTTAAATGTGGCATTCACAGAAATGCTTAGTTTCGGTACAGGACCATAGAGAGGTAGGTGGTATTTAACCCTTGTCATTGTTCAACACACTTTTCCCCAGAAATGTCTAGGTATGAAATTAAGAATTTTTCTTTATGTATATGATATATATTTATCACTAATCAATATGACATTAATTTTATGTAAACACACAGGTTAGCACACCTTGACATACTTCCCCTCACTCAGAGTAGATGAAAGTACCCTGTGACCTGATTTCTGTTTCTGTTTGAGAAAGCTCAGAGTTCCTGACTTAATGTTCTTCCGAGGACCAGGGCAAATTAGGATTGTTTATAGGACAACATCCCATAACATAAAAGAAATCAACTCTACAGAGTGAGGAGAGTGGAGCAAATGAATGGAAGAGCTCAGAAGGTCAAACCAGTGCTCTGATTGAATCGGGAGGCTAGCTAGCCTGGTGCATACGAAAGGTCTACCCTTCAGTGGAGTGTGGGGGCTGGATGAGGACTGTGCATGTGCTGCCTTCGATGAAAACATCTGAGTACCTTCTGCCTCTGAGGCCTAGTTGTTTACTTTGGGTGAACGGTGAAAAGTTTCTGTTTCTCTCCTAGTATGGTTCACTTGCCTAAGGCTGCCCACTCTCATCTCGTGGGTGCTGCTGACTTGTCTGGGTGCTTTGGATGTAGGAGTACTGGAGCATGTATTATAATAGAATGTAAATATTAAATTTCAACGGAGAGGGAGGTATTGGGGTTTCAGGGGGTTTTTTCTTCTGCCTCTATAAATTGTGACTGACTTCAAAGAATTGTTGATTTGGGCATTGTCCTCTGTATTCAGAGATTTCTCCCATCCTCCTCCCTACTTTTTCCTTTATGTCTGCAAGAAAATGTAGTGCAGAGAAGAGATCTAGTAAAAAGTACCTTTTCCTATGCAAAGAAATCAGTATCTTAAACAAGACTATTTTAGTTTATTCTTTGGATTATAAACTATAATCTCTGGATTATAGTTTATTCTGTAGGTTTTAATATCTTAATGGCAGGGGCTGCAGGTGCCATCTTGATAATTGCTGGTATTTTTGAGTCCATCATCATGGATATATGTTCATGGGTTATTGCTGTGCAGTGTGCTGTCAACACTGTTCCACTTCACAGTCACCCTGTCTGACCAGTAGAGCTACCCCATAGCGTTTCCTAGGCTGTAATCATTGTGAAAGCAGCTCACCTGGTCTTCTTTCCTGATGCTGGCCTTTTGACCAGCAGCCAAGTGCTAACCCATTCATTAGCCACCATGGTCTGGTATACCTGTGACACCTCCAGCTCATTGCTGTTAAGTTGACTCTATGGGGTTGAATAGAACTGTCCCATAGGGTTTCCAAAGTTGTAATCTGTATAGAAGCACATTGCCGCATCTTTCTCCCACAGAGCAGCTGGTGGATTTGAACTACTGACTTTTGGATTAGCAGCTGAGCACGTAGCCACTGCACCCCAGGACTCCTCGTGCCTTTGGCAGATAATGGGGATTAGAGGATTGGTCTATCAGAAATAAAATAGATTTCAAGATTTAAATTTTTAGAGTAAGCCACTCCGGGAACAACAGGTCTTAAAATGAAAGAACTCCCTAAGTAATAAAATCTTATGTAATTGTATAGAGTATCTTGAAACTGAATGAAGTCTTAGTTAAAGTTACACCTTAGGTTTTTGTGTGAGCAAGAGAGTCCTGAAAACTCCCCTAACATTTCCAGGCAAAGTAAAAATAGTTGCTAGCCTAAAACACCTTCTTATACATAGATTAGCACTTGTAGGCTGCTGTTGTAAAAGAAACTTAGAAAATGCTTTTAAATTTTTTAATTAAAATTTAAAAAATAATTATAGAGTTCATGCAGTTATAAGAAAATAATACAGAGAGATAAAATTTGCCCCAGTGATAACATTTCGCAGTGCTGAAGTACAGTATCGTAACCAAGCTATTGACATTAATTCCATCTACCTATCTTACTGAAACATTTCTCGTTTTCCTTGGGGTAGATTTGCCCTGTGTTTGTGTGTGCACCACCACACTCAAGGGTCTAAGGGGTCCATCAAGAGCTGCTCATGTTGCTCTTTCATAACCACACCCTCCTTGCTCTTCCCTGCTTGCTTTCCTCTGGTAACCATTCATCTGTTTTTCATGTCTACAATTTTATATAAATGCGATCATACAGCTTTAACATTGTGAAAATGGCCTTTTCACTTGGCAAAATTCCCTGAAAATGAATCCAAGTTGTGTGTCATTTGGCCCTTTTTATTGCTGAGCAGTATTCCGTGATATTTATGTGTCATAGTTTAACTGTACACCTGTTGAAGGACATTGAACTGTGTGCAGGTTTTGTTCAAAGCTGCTATGAACATTCATGAACAGGTTTCAGTATAACATGAGTTTTCATTTCTATGGGATAAAGGCCCAAGAATGCCCAGAATTTATTTTAACTGCCAAAAAATTAACTCAGCGAATAGTTACTAGGGAGAATCATGGATCTAGTCCTTCTTTTAACAGAAAGAAAAAGAAAATTCCTGTTGACAATCGCTGGTACAAGATTGACCCCAAAGACAATGTTCATGGTGCTGTCTTAGAAAGAAGTGAAAGTTGATGGCTTCCTTGTTGTTGGGTGCCAGTTATTCCCTTCCGGCTCACTGCGACCCTGTGCACAACAGAATGACACACTGCCCAGCCCTGTGCTTGAGCTCATCTGTACAGTACTGTGTCAGTCCATCTTACTGAAGGCCTTCCTCTTTTTAACTTCCCCTCCACTTTACCAAGAAGGATGTCCTTCTCCGGGAATTGTTCTCTTCTGATAACATGTCCAAAGCACAAAGTCTCACCATCGCTGCCTCCAAGGAGCATTCTGGCTCTCTTCCAAGAGAGATTTTGGTAGTCCTGATACTTTCAATATCCTTTGCCAACACCATCGTTCCAATGCCTCAGTTTTTCTTCAGTCTTCCATATTCAGTGTCCTACCTTTCATAACATCCTTGCTTTGCAATACTTGTCTAGCAGTTTGTCCTACTGTGGTAGCTTGTGTGTTGCTGTGATGCTGGAAGCTATATCACTGGTATTTCAAATGCCAGGAGGGTCATCCAAAGTGACCAGGTTTCAGCCGAGCTTCCAGACCAGAAACTGACTAAGAAGAAGGAATAGGCACTATCACTAAGTTTGTGAATGGGGACAGTATGTCATTAACAGGTGTAGCTGGACTATGATCCCAAATCCATTACAATCAAGTCAGTCCTACCTAGTGATTGCATATAGGGCTTCCAATACTAAATCTTTTCGGAAATAAAAAGCTTCATCTCTCTGATTTTCCACAATGGCATTTTACTGTATTTTTGGATGTCTTTTGTGATGGGTTCCAATAAGTGAAATTATTGGGAACATTTTATTATGTAATACTAAATAGTTGTCAAGAAATATACCAGTATATATACACAGGAGCTTCAGAAAGTTCATGGAAAAGTAGAATTAGACACCAACTCTTTGAAGCCTCCTCATGTTGCCCAAAATATCAAAACTAAACTCAATGCCAACAAGTTGATACTGACTCAGAGTGACCCTATTGGACCAGAAGAAATGTCATGTGGGTTTCTGAGGCTGTAACTCTTTTTGGGAGTAGAAAGCCCCATCTTCCTCCCACAGAGCAGCAGGTGGATTCAAACTGCTGACCTTGCAGTTTACCCAGTACAGTTAGTAACACACCACGCCACCAGGGCACTTCATGTTGCCAGAAGTGTTCAAATTCAGTGTTATTTTTAGTCCAAATTCAAGTGTTATTTTTTTCCCTTTGTAAATATGTTAAAATGAAAAGTTGACGAAAACAAGTCTTAGCCTTTTGTATGTATGACTACCTGTAAACTGTTCATCTTTCTCCCCATTCTATATTGGTAAGATAATGTTAGGGTTCTTAAGACTACAGCCCCTCCTCACTTACCGACATGGTTAGGTTCCAAAGCCCAAGTTACTATGTAAAAGTCAGCATTCTATGAAAATGGACGATGACTATATCAGATCATAACTGCCAAACCACTCAGAATCGTGGCCCAGCCAAGATAATACATAATCCGAATCATCACAGCCAATGTTACCCTCATGCCACACCTCGGCATTCATGACTGCCATATATACATTGTTAATGTGCAAACTAAATGAATGAAAGATTTTTTTCTTAAGTGCAACTTGTTGGATAACAAGATACTCAATAACTGCGGAATAAGTATATTTCAAAATGTCTAGGAATAACATTTTAGTTTTAAATGTGTTGTAGGAATAACCTTTTAGTTTGATGATTCATTTTTTAGTTAATGATTATTTATTTTATACTACATTTAAAGTATTTTTTTTTCTTGCTCTTTCAAGATACGCTGTGATAGCCTTTGGCTGTGCCAGCTGTCCAAAATTAACTTGTGGGCGAGAAGGCTGCGGAACAGAGTTTTGCTACCACTGTAAACAGATTTGGCATCCTAATCAGACCTGCGATGCTGCCCGGCAAGAGAGAGCCCAGAGTTTACGTTTGAGAACTATTCGTTCTTCTTCCATTAGTTACAGCCAAGAATCTGGAGCAGCAGGTATTTATTTATTTATTCACGAATAAAATAATGGGCACATACAGCACACTCATTGTTTTCACTAAGCAAATATCTGTGGGTATATCTATCAACGCACAGTGTTCAACTGCAGCTATCACCTATCCTTCCTTCCAGTTTTCAAAAATGTTTTATAGAATTTGTGCCCCCAAAGCACTTGGTCTTTTCCCATAGGACTAAAAGGTATTTGTGATTGGAAAAACATGAGTGTTGAGAAAGAAAAAGCAAAAGCAGTGCCATGATGATTATTTATAAAGCTAGTAGCCAAAACTGGTGTGGAACTTCTTTGCAAAAGTGTTAGCACATGTTTTCAACAAAATTCTGGTTTTGAAATGTCACCTGTAGATTAATTTTAATTATACAAAATATGACAAAATCACAAACTTAGAGCAGTATTTATTCTTAGAATGCTTTTCTTTTTTCATGTTTTGTGAAATGCGTTCTCACTTGCTGACGTCTCATCCAGTCCCGGGATCAAGTTTACAGTATTCAAATATTAGTATAGAAGGCACCAAGAACTTTAAGATGTAAATTTAAAAGCTCTATGGAAGCTATACATTAAGAAAGTATACATCCTAGGAACTTAAAAAATTCCCTCTGAATGTGAAAGACAAACTTTGGAAAGCACAGAAAATTACTTAGAAGATAAATTCCTAACTGCAAGATATTGAAATAGTATTTTGTTATGCTAAAAAAAACATCTTATTAAAACTTAACATGAAAAATTCAACACTCAGTATTTTACATAATATATATGAATCTTTTGCTTGTTTGGTGACTGGCTTATTTCTTTTTCTCTCTTGAAGATTTTGAATGAAATCCAAATAGTAGTCGTAGTTTGTAGATCCCTGTTGTGAAGCACTTCAGAGAGGAATTACCTCTACCTAAGCCACCTCCCCGAGGACTCAGCAGTAGCCACTGGGGGACAGACACTTAACAGGCATCCTTCCTCTCTCAGGTGTAGAGGATGGATATCTCTTAGCCGTAGAGCACCTAGATAGCTCATGGGAAGCAGAATAGATTCTTCCACTAGATTGCCTGAATTCAAATCTCTGCTCTCCACTTACTCTCTGTGAGACTCTTAAGTTACATGAAATATCTGTGAAATAAGATATTAATTGTACATTATTCCATAGGGTTAAAATATTTCCTGACTCATAGTAAGGGTTCTCTCGGACAGGGCAGAGAAATTAGAGTCTCCTGATAGAGATTTTAGTATATCTGGGTTTTCATTTTTTAAAATCACAAAAATCAGGCTTTTGCTATTATTTCTGAAATACCATGATTTTGAGCAAACATCTAAGATGTAACTGTTGGTCTCTGAGCAAGAGCAAAGAATTTGGAGCAAAGGGTAATGAAGGAAACCAACATCTCAAAAGAAACCACCGTGTATATTCGTGTATAAGCTGAGTTTTTCAGCACATTTTTAATGCAGTTTTTGTGGTAAAATTAGGTGCCTCGGCTGATATGCGGATCGCTTATACTCAAGTATATACAGTAGTCCTCAGGATTAATAAGAGCCCACACAAACTAGGGCTGCTTCTGTCCTGAGACCGGAAGAACTAGATGGTACCTAACTGTCATTACTGACTGTTCTGACTAGATACCCACTAGAAGAGAGGATGAGAGGAAAATTCTGACTAGATACCCACTAGATACCAAGAGAGGATGAGAGGAAAATTCTCATTTGGCGTCCCCAAACTACAGCCACATGCACCCGCCGAGGACATTTATCCGGCCCGCCCAGTGTTTGTGCCCCGTTTTTTTTCTCACTGGAGAACCTTTTATTTACTTATATTATTTTATTTTGTTGTTTTAAACTATAGTCTGGCCTTCCAACAGTCTGAGGGACAGTGAACTGGCCCCGTTTAAAAAGTTTGAGGACCCTGCTCAAGACGATTGCCTTTAGATACTCTTTGAACTTGGCACTGAAGCTTCTAGCGAATATTAGTATAGAAGGCACCAACTAATAAATGAACCATCTATTTTCTTTTACAATTTTTTATCCTTTTATAAAAAATGTAATATTTATTGGGTTCCTCATCTCACCTATAATCCTGTACCACTATCAACAGTAAATGTTTTGTTGTAAGTCTTTATAAGTGTGTCTAATGCACTTAGTTAGGAAGAAGAGGAAACATTTAAACCAAAGTCTGGTGTTAGAGTAGCCTGTTGTCTTTTCTGATCATGATAATTCCCATATTTTAAAGGTAAACAGTAATCAAAGACAAAAGCTTTACCAAACACTTTAAAGAAAACAGAAAGTCCTTTTTGTTTTTAATATAAAAGAGCTATGAATTATTTTTCTCCTGGAGAGTGGAAGATTAATTGATAGTCTAATCAGTAAAATTATTATAATTTAGCACTTGTACATTTTGAGAAAATTTTGAGAAAAATATGAGTGTACAGTAATTTTTTTAATTGCAAGGTTAAAAAAATACAGACAAAATAGCCTTGATTATCTCCACAAAGAGTCAAAATAAGTAGATACAGATACATAGAGACATAACAAAAATACATTGCTTATTAGTTCTCTTAACTTAGATATCGAAAGGCTGTCTTGTGTTGTTTTTAGAACCATGATGAAATAGGGATGCCACTTTCCAATTTGTTTTTGAAGATTACAGGTATTAGAACCAATGCCTAAGTCCTGTACTCCTCCTATTTCTAGTTGGTGCATCTACTGCTTGAGTATACATTGGAATTAGGAAGTTTATCAATTGATAACTCCACTTAAGCAAATGTTGATAGTTTTTTTCAATCCAGTGCATTAGGTATTATAGCAAGTATAAAAGCCAGTTTTGTTTCATTCATATCCCAATGTTAAATTACGTTTAATGTTGCCTTTGTATTCTTTAGACAGTTTAAATCATGACTAATGAATACTTTAAAATTGTTATATTCTAGTAGTGATCATTTATCTTAATCTGGTTGCATACAATTATCAGATTGCTCAAAATTGCTTGAAATGCTAGTTGTGATCTCTGACCAGTTCTTAAGTTAAGAAGCCATTGTGGCCCTAGAAGAAGCCCTACGGAAGTCTACAGTCACTGATAAAGCACACAGGCAAATCTGACCTTAAAATGTGTAGAAAGAAGAATAAAATACAACTTATTGCTTGGGGTATGAGAAATTAAAACAAATATGTTAATTCAGTAAGAGCTTTATAAATACATTCTTCTAAAAACCAACTGTCCGTGCGTAGTTAGAAAATAAAGCGGGCTAATAGTTACAGGTTAACTGTTTATAAGTAGATACAAAATTCAAGGGTTACATAGTTTAAATAACTCTTTGTGTCAGTGATTCCAAAGTTACATACCACTTGATTAAGACTTGGTACCGTTAGGCATTGTGGCCATATTACTATGTACACGGAGCAACTACGGTAGCATTTTTTGAGCACTTGAATAAAAAGGACCAAGACCGTTAGCAGTCAAGGGCCTAACTAGCTATAATGACATTAACTTTGGAACTGTTTTCAGTTGTCTGTACGCTAGTGTTTATAACGATGTAGTTTTTCCTTAACCTCTGACCTCTTCTGTTTCTCTGTATGAATCCTTGCAAGGCCCATCTGTTTATTGCATGTATAATATTACTTAAAAGAGAGAAATGAACTCAGTGCTTTGTCTGTAGTGCCTCAAATCAATATCAGATTGTCACTTCCTATTAGTACTCATTCACTAAAGAAGTACTATAGAACATCTGCATTTTAATTAACTAGAAAGGGTGGAAAAGTTGTAGAACATGAATGCCGCTCAGAGAAGCCGGCTATGGGGCAGGGACAAAGACAGACCTTATCACAGTTTGCCGAAACTCACCTTGGTCCTCCATTTTCTTTTTATTCCTTTGTCCTCGCTAATCCTGTGATTGAAAAATGTCTAAAAATTAACAGTGTTAAATGTCTTCTGTTTCTCAGAAGAGAGGAATAAGTGCTTTCTTTATGAGAAATCGCAAATTAAATTTATCAAGTTAACAAACTATACATATTAAGATCTCTTTTTGGGGGTGGGACATTACTACTATTGATACCAACCTACTAAAAAGGGTTGCCTTTCTATCAGTTTTACCTGCTAAACAGATTTGTCGGTTTTCCTAATAGCGGATGACATAAAGCCTTGCCCACGATGTGCTGCCTATATAATAAAGATGAACGACGGGAGCTGCAATCACATGACGTGTGCAGTCTGTGGTTGTGAGTTTTGTTGGTTGTGTATGAAAGAAATCTCAGATTTACATTATTTAAGGTAAGTTTTTGGAAAGAGCTACTTATATCTAAATAATAGTTTCTATTGTTACAAAGGGACATTTACAGGGATCTATTTTATTCTAGTTATGTAGATTTAAAAGGAACCATATTTTGCTAATCATTTGGAAATAACTAGTAAAATTAAAAAGTAATAACTTTTTGTTGTTGTTAAGTGATAAAGCCAGTATTTAAGGTCTGATAGTAGGGGATAGTTCCACTTGGTTTTCTCAGGTGGAAGTCTCTTCATTTAAGCTACTAAGTGAGTTGATTGGGGGGTAAAGGGGAGGGAAAACAGTCAAGTGTATACCTAAAATAAGTTTTACATTAATGTGCTTTTTTAAACCTACCAAGATTTAAGGGAAGACTAGGGATATTTTTTTAACATGGATCCCAGTTGTCAGTATCCCTGTAATACAGTACATGGTAGTCCTTACCTTAACTGGGGGGACTTTTAGTCATCTAAGAATTTAAAGAAAGCAAAATCTCACTTCTAAGTATGAGAATCTTTCTTGATAAGGTACTATGTAATTAGTTGTTATGATGCCTTTCAACAGTTTCTTTACACTAACATTTTTTCCCACTAGTCCGTCAGGATGTACTTTCTGGGGAAAGAAACCTTGGAGTCGAAAGAAGAAAATACTGTGGCAACTGGGAACCCTTGTTGGTGCTCCTGTCGGAATTGCTCTCATCGCTGGCATTGCTATCCCTGCAATGATTATTGGCATTCCGGTGTATGTGGGCCGGAAGGTAGGATATGGCACTCCTTGTTGGTTCATGGTCTTTCTTCTCTCAGTCTGAAGGTGCATCTCTGTAGAATCCAGACCCTGTTTGGTGTATTTGTGTGCACTGGGTTGCTGACCACAAGGTCAGCAGTTCAAAACCACCACCCAATCCTTGGGAGAAAGATGATTTTCTGCTTCAATCGTCAGTCTCAGAAATCCACAGAGGCAGTCTACCCTGACCTATGGGGTTCCTATGAGTGAGAATTCAGTCGATGGCAGTGAATTGAGTTTTTTCTGTAGCTTCCATGATTTGGGTCTGCTTTAGTTTTTCTTTGTGCTTTTAATTTTAACTCTTTTTAATTTTTTTTTAATTTTAACTCTTTGGAGTTCTTTTTCATGCTTAGGAGAACTGTTTTGTTTTGGTCTTTCTCATTTCACAATGCATTGGGAAATTTCTCAACTTTGTAGCACAAAGAATATTTTGAAAACATGAAAAGTCTCAATAATTCCTGTCCATGGATGTTAAAGACTTTTATTTTTAATTGACATGTGTTGGGAACATCCCTGTTCATGTTTGTGCATTTGTTTTTGTTGTTGTTTTAAGACAAAGGTTAATTTTAATTTCTTTAATATAAAACAATTATCTTTTTTTTTCATAGTTGGCAGAATAAATTATAAACAATGTGTTTTATAATATATTTCTAATGTTTTGTTAGCTCATGCATATACATAAAAAAATAGACTTGCTTTGCAATGATCTGAATCTGTAAATTGTATTGTATTCACCATGAACCATCTTTGAATATTAAGTATTAGGGAATACATACTTAACATTTTTCGCATGGGCTTATCCTCCTCAAGTCAGACATTTATAATTTAAGTTAATAACTTAATAACACATGCCCTTAACAAAGAAAAATTACCTAGTTCCTTAGTTGTTCCCATGGAGCCTGGTGGTATAATGGGTCAAGCACTGAGCTGCTTGCCTACAAGACCAGCGGTGCAAACTTACCAAATTGCCACACGTTGAAATTGACTTGTTGGCAGGGGGTTTAATGGTTTACAATTTAAGTTCACACCTTTTTTCTTTTCTCCATATTCCAACTTACAGTAAATATGTTTTACAGATTCTAACTGACTTATGAAGGTCCAACACCAATATTTATTAATTAGTACAACTAAGCAAATACTTTTTAAAAGATTTATGAGATAATATATAATGTGGCTAATAAATCTGCTGGTATCTAAATTAATAGAATCTCAGAATTTGAAAATGACTATAGAAATGAGCTAATCCCAGTCCTCTACCTGAGCTGAATAATGAATAAGATTGGAATAAAAAATCTTAATATAAAGAAGAGGTAATGTTTATTGAATCCTCAGAGTGTAGTAGGCTAGTTAATCTCACAGCAGCCTTTCAAGATAGATATTTCAGTCTCTAGTTTTGTATTAGAATATCAGGGCTTGGAAATGCTTATGCAACTTCTTTTTAGTTACACAGAGAGAAGCAGGGCTGGGATTTTAATCCAGACACAGGAATCCCATATGTAAGATCCCTCAGTGAGTTGCACCCCAGCTATTTGGGCGTGATGGGCAAGCCAACTCGGGAGGCTAGAACGTTAGAAAATGTGAGTCAGAACCTTTCCTTTCCATTGTTTCCTTTACTTCTTGCTTAGGCTTGGGACCTCATTCAGAATGAAATCAATCTATTGCCTTATCATTGCCCATTCATTGTAAATAACTTTTTATAACTAGAAAATTAATAATACTATTTTGTTTCATTTTATTTTAATAACCTTGGGCCTAACGTACTACTTTGTTTCATTTTATTTTAATAACATATTTACAAGCTAAATATTTCAGAGAGCCTAAGTAACTAAAGTTTTTAAAAGTTCCAAACCTAGTAGCTGACCATAGTGATTTTTTTATGTAGTTATCCCAAGCAAAGCTCTGCTGAAACAGAGCTGTTTATTTAGTGACTTAGAGAAGTTCACGAGAGAGACAAATGTACTCTACATTCCCACAAATAATTTATAGAGGAAAGATTATCTCACTCCTTGTTTAATACATGAACCCATAAGGTTGCAAGTCAGTAAATTGGTTGCCAATGAATCAGTATTTTCAGTGGTATTTAAGTCTCCAAACCAAGAAATAGGAAAGCCTATTAAGTTGATAAACTATCTAAATGTTGGACCTTTATTTATAATAGAAAATGTTTCAAAAGTAATAAGACAGAAAACAATAATAATTTCTAATTTATCGAGGGTTCATGAGGTTGGGAGGAGCTGATACTAAGCGTTCAAGTAAAAAGAAAATATTTTGGAAATGATGATGGCAACATATGTACAAATACACTTGATACAGTTCTTATAACAATCCACACATCAATTGTAAGAGCCCCAATAAAATGATTTATTATTTTAAGTAATAAGAAAAAAAAGTTGAACTAAGAGATTGATTAAATCAATTATCCAAGCAAGTTAGTAATGAGCCAATAATTTGTGAAAATATGATTTAAGAACAGTAAGAGGCTTAGCTGGAATTTGGAAGCTCAACTATGAAATTATATAAAAGATCCAGTCTGTAGGATTCCAGCCAGCAAATACAGGTCTGTTGCACAAACTCCAATGAATACTACATCTTCTCCTTAATCCTTCCATTTCTCATTCCAGATTCACAATCGATACGAAGGCAAGGACGTTTCAAAGCACAAACGGAATTTGGCCATCGCAGGTGGGGTGACTTTGTCTGTGATCGTGTCCCCAGTAGTAGCTGCAGTAACTGTAGGTAAGAACACCCTTCAAATTATTAGTGACCTCACATCTCAGAGCACTAAAATTATGTGAGAGGGTTCTTAAATCAGAGCATTGTCTTATTGTTGACGGTAAGAGAGGTACTTTTTAAAATTTAAGAACAATTTAAGAAAAGCCTTTCATTCAGTAAAATAAAAATATTCTAGACTGGAGCCTAGGGTAGCTGATAAATGGTTAGTGACTGATGCTCTCCCTGCACCCCACTGAATTCAGAGCCCTGGGACTTAAATATTTAAGTTTACATTGTGTGTGCATGTGCATGCAGTCTGTAAGAAAGGGAGCTTTTAATATGCTTATGTTCCTTAACATTGGGTTGTATCTCCCATTTGGCAGCCATTCTAGCCAAATCTCCAGAACACTAGCACGTTCTGCTTTATGTATGTTCTCTTGAAAAGACCTTCTGAAATGCATGTTTCTGTGCCTAGTGTTTTAGTCTATAGTAATCCATTAAATTTCTCTTTAGGTATCGGTGTTCCTATTATGCTAGCTTATGTCTATGGCGTTGTTCCAATTTCTCTCTGTCGAAGTGGAGGTTGTGGAGTCTCAGCAGGAAATGGAAAAGGAGTCAGGATTGAATTTGATGATGAAAATGATATAAATGTTGGCGGAACTAACACAGCTATAGGTGAGTCCTTTAAAGAAAATGCATTTGATAGCTGTAGGTGATATGTACGTCAGTTTCCATTCTCCACTTACTAGGTCTAGTAATGTTCATCAAGAATTACTTCTTAAATGCTTCCTCTGCCCCCTCCCCCCTCGTGATCCCAGTTCTGCCTTACAAATCCCGCTAGACCAGAGGAAGTACACTGGTACAGATAGGAACTGGAAACACAGAGAATCCAGGGCGGATGAACCCCTCGGGACCAGTGGTGAGAGTGGTGATACCGGGAGGGTAGAGGGAAGGAAGGGGGATTAGAAAGGGGTAACTGATTACAAGAATCTGCATATAACCCCCTCCCAGACAAGAGAAAAGTGCGTGAAGGGAGATGTCGGACAGTGTAAGACATGAAAAATAATTTATAAATTATCAAGGGTTCGTGAGAGGAAAAAATGAGCTGATACAAAGGGCTCAAGTAGAAAGCAAATTAATTGAGAATGATGATGGCAACAAATTTACTGTAGTATAAAGTTTGGGTGGGGGGCCGGCCCCACCACTACTAACACCCACGGGTAGAGTAATGCACAATTGTACGGTAGAGATATATATATATATTAAAGTCATCAAGAGCATGAGAGAGATTACAATAATGGAGTCAGACACATTACATGGTAGCATTGCTCACTTCAGCCCAGCTTGGTGGTCCACCTGGAGAGAGGGGGAAGGGAAGGAGGACAGGGGAAGAGGGGCGCGATCAGTGAGAGCCCAGCGAGAGATCTCTATTGCTGGCCCACGCCTTTGGGGGGGTGCACATCCCCTAATTACAGGTAAAGACATACGTCAGGTGCTCTAGGGACATACACGCAATAGGAAGAGGAGGGATTGGGGGTATACATGTGACAAGATGGGCGGATCTTAGATTTAGGATGGCAGCTTAACTTTGACCTGTTCTCTGGGTCTCCATTATCAGTAGGGTGTAAAACTCCTCATACAGTAATCTGTCCATTGTCTCTAGCAGCAGGGAGCAGTCTGACCTCCCCCCACTAGTCCTTTTGTTTTATATATAAAATTCAAAAGCCACATGGGCGACATGGTTATTTTCTATACATTAAAAGCTGTCAAGGCGAAACTTCATGGTCCAATTAATATAGCCAAAAATTCAGGCTTACAGCAAGCAGTTTGAATCCAGGCATTGGGGGTAAAGTCCCCTTATGCCCATCTTCTATTGGAAGAAGATATGAGAGAGATTGGATACCGCGGCGGGAAGAAATAGAGCCAAACAGGAATGTCTGCTTCTATAGTTAAAGCTGCTGGCCATACAGCAACCAGCTATGTGCTTGTAGGAGACAACCTCAGATCAGCACCATATAGGAGGGTAAAGTGAGGAACAATATCATGAGAATGTGATTAGAACTACCTATAACTCACAAGGTGTAAAGGTCCTGCTCTGCCACTAGAAACCTAGCCTCCCAGGCTCCTTTGCGAGAAAATGAAGGATTTGTCCTTAAACACTCTCTTCCCGTTCTCTACTCCTCACGGTGTTTGCCTTATGTATGAACTTCAAAAGTGCCTTAGAGGCCGTATGATTCTCCTTCACAAGCCTTAACGTTCTACAGAAGCAACACGTGATATCCAGGACAAAATTGTAACCCAGACTATGAGAAATACTTTGAACCCAAGCACGAGGATCCAATCCTTCCATGCCATTCACCAATTGCTTAATTATAT